GTAGCGGACATGCGACGGTCGAAAAGTAATAATAACATACTTATGGCAATAAATTAATATACATAATAAAAATGATAAAAACGAAAGCAACCGAGCACAAAATTTTTATGAGTGCATTGTTGCATTAAAATTAGATCAAAGTAAAGTCGTTGCAGATAAAATACATGTGTTCACAATAAAAAAGTAAAGGAATAATAAGTTAAAAAGTATGTAAAGAGTGTGAAACATATGTAAAACACAAACCGTATGGAAATAAAAATAAAAATGAAATAACGTTGAATCAAATTTTGGAGAGCTTTTCTATTGCAGTCACATATACTTCCGGGAGGCACTCAGTATCAGTCTGCAAATTGATACTGTTCTTTTGTCTTTTAATGTATAAAATTTCAGAAATTAGTCGTTTGTGTAAATATGGCTCTCTATCTAAAATCTCAACATTCTCCCAATTGAAATCGTAATTGTATGCTAGCCTATGATCAGTGATCACGGAGTGGTTATTCGTATTCCTCCGAATATGGTATTTTTGTGTTCAGGATCCTAGTATGTAATTGTCTTTTAGTCTGTCCTACGTATGACGCGTCACAATTATCGCAATTGATTTTATAGACAACATTAATGTGAGTAGATGGAGCATGAGAATCTTTGTGAACTTTAATAAAATTATTCAATTTACTGAGACTGCGATATGCTAGTTTGACATTTAAGTCTTTAATAATGTTTTTAAATTGTTACGAAATTGCAGGAGCGTACGGTGTCTTTTCTTATATGTATATTATTATCTTTCGATCGTTTTTGTCAGCCTTTCCGAAAAAATTGTTTGCGTTCGAATCTTGCTATCTTGGTTGACAACAGTTATTTGTGTGTCACGGCATTGCGATCGCCTCGTTTATTTGTTAGTGACCGCCTAAGTCCCGTTGCACCCGAGTGTGAATTTTCTATTCACGTCGTCGGCTCTAAATTTATGTGTAAGTTATTTTTATAAATTTTTTATATATCTGCGCATTCCCTCACATCGTCTCGTATATGAACCATGCCGGTCATTTACAGGCAGTAATACAAATGCATCATAACATCATGTTCATTCATGTACAATCTGGGATTTCTCAACTTTCGATCGTGTAATCGAGCAGTTGGTCATCCTAATAACTACTGTAACTGTTCTTGAAGATGCACCGTATTTGAGAGCGACGTTTTGAATTTCAATGTTTGCAACATTGATTATGAATTTGAGATTCGTTCACCGTCTAAGTAGATTTATTTGTATTTTTTATCTTTTGCGCTGAAGAAGGCTGAAAGATCAGCCGAAACGTCCGCTTTATGTTATTTTGATTTTGTTATTTCGATTATGTTACATTGATTACTATTAAATTTTACGCGCTCTTAGTACTGCGCCGTGCTCTCATTGTCATTATACCTCATTCTTATATTCTTTTATCGGGAGCCTTATCTTATATTCAAGTATTTCCAATTAGTATTTCCAATTTTTAGGATGCTATAAATCTTTTGGCGCCAGCGGGACTGTTGTCCACAAAAAAATTGTTGTTTCCGGACGATTTGATGACATGTCTCGAAAGAAATTCCGTGCATTTTTTCAGAGACTCGCGTTTCCGGTAATAAAAGAGAAAGTCTTTCTAGATCGTCCGAGGCATTTTTGTTTGCCGATTAGTAGCCGTTATCTCTCTTCGAAAAAAAAATTCGTGAAGTCGTAACACGAACGTAATATCAGCATTTGTAAAAAAATACGTGTCTCCTATTTTTGTCTATATTTTAACATATTCGAAGCTCATTCAGCTCAGCTAAAATCGGGGGGGACACTTCTGTGTGTTCCCTTGTCAGTAAAGCCAAGCTGAAATTCATGCCTAGCGTCGCGAGTAAGAAAAATTGGAAGTTATAGGCAAGCATTTCGCACTCTATAAAATTTCTTGCGTCGTTTATTTTTTAGTTTTCCAGTGAAATATGTATATTTTCACAATCTTCGGAGATGCAAAATATACCGGAAAGTGAACTATAATGATGTGGGAGCGTCCCGTTTGACCGTTGCGATTGACCATTCACAATGACCGATGCTTAGAAGTTTTCCTCTGTTCAAACGCTATGAGTGATTGGTAGTCAATTGTAACGTGTCAAACGGATCCCACCTAATGATGTTACTGATGAAAATTAAATGTGAAATTCAGTCAGAAACCGTTTTAGAAAACTAAAAAAATTGGATAATAGCAGTAGTGCGCAGTAACAAATTATTTTGGATTTAGAGACACGGTTTTTCTTATAGATTTTTGGATGTTAAAAATAATGCAGTAAGTCAAATTTTTTCAGCATATTAAGTTTCCAAAATAATTAAGATTTAAAGCTCGACTCTCTCGATCAGTCATATTGGTTTTATGACGCCATAGGCGAGAGAAGATATGCATCAAAAGTTTTATGTCTTATATTTTTATATTTTAATTTTTCTTTAAAAATATATTTTCGTATTCTTAAAAGTTGAAAAATATAGAGATAGTTGAAAATATGAGAAATTAAGATATCTATCTAGATGTTTCATCCAGAAGTATAAAATAATTCTTGAAATAAAATACTTACTTTTGCTCTCACGGCGGTGTCTGACTGAGTCACACACATATACACGCACGC